CCTGATTCTTTGCGCAGCGTGCGCGCCCACCTGTGTATCGCGCGCGCCTGATTCTTTGTGCAACGTGCGCGCCCACCTGTGTTTCGCGCGCGCTTGGTTCTTTGTGCAACGCGCGCGCCCAACTGTGTATCGGGCGCGCACGATGCACCCGCGCACGATACACCCCTGAGCGCGCACGATGCACAGCTCAATGAAAATAAGGTTTCTAGTGTTTGTCTCCCAAAAAAATTTGAGATTTTAAATTTGTTGGCTAAAAAAATTGTGGGATTTTGTTGTTGTTTTTTTGCCTGGCTGGCAGGCACCATGGGACCCGGCCGAGCACGAGTCAGCGCTTACAACTGCGGGAACCTATGTGTCAGCAGGAAACCTGTTCTGGTGCAACCTGAGGGTTTTGAACAGCCCATCTGTTCCTGTCTCGGCAAAAAGCATAGAGCTCCAGTTCAATTACTTTGAGGCGACTGGTCCAGAGAAGCTTCGGGAGGAGGTGGTCATTGCACTTGAGCAAGGTGTTGGGGTGGATCAATTCCAGCGGCAGCAGGTGCAGGGCAGGCTTCGCCGAATCTCTCCCGAAGAACTGGACCATTCATTGATTATGTACATCGCAGACTTGATCAAAGAGGGTCATGATGATGCCAAACTTCAGTGTCCTGATTGCACTTTCTCCCCTGTTATGGTTAAAAGGTGAAGGCTCACCTATTGAGGAAATGCACTAGTTTATATTGAAATCACGTAAAAATTGTGTGTTTCCAGAGTCCAAATTGATGTTTGTCAGCGCCAAGGCAATGGAAGCAAGTGCTACTTAGTGTGTCCATGCGCGTGGAGCTTGTGGATAGCTATGAGGCCATGTTTTGGAAGGGCATCAACTTGAGGCAACGCTACATCAGCACCTATGACAGTTTGACAAGGTCAACCATCCAGTCAGTGCTAGAGCTTGTGAAGTTCTGTGATGAGCTCTTACCTGCTGGATCAAGGAAGGAAATCGCTGATCATTGGCAAATGAAGGTAGCAGACCTTGGAAGCGCCCTTGTCGACAAGATGGACTTTGCCTTCGTTGACACCGCCCTCAAAGGGCACGACAGGATGCTATGCTACCCAGCTGTCTTCAAGGCAATCATGGAGATGGACATGGCCTTTGGAAAAGCGTCCTGTCTCAATTACCTCAGGGTTCTTGAGCTCATTTGCATGAAGGGCAAGGAGGCTGAGCAGCTTTGGATGATCCAGTCCATCAGGGACTACATCTTTGTATTGAAGGAGTACACGAACAAGGACCTCTCCACGAGAGCTCTGCAAGGTTCACCCAACAACCGCGGGCTGCTTGATGTTTTCCTAGCCAAACGGAAGATGGTGCTTTGGCTTCTCGAGCACTTACAGTCTAAGAATTGCCCATGTGATTGGATCGATACCCTCCGGAGTCTCATTACCCATGCAGCTTTTCGTGAAAAGGTTGGCTCAGGCTCTGGTTCTCGCAATGCAGATCAGCCTGACAAATCGTGGCTGGGAACAGAACATGAAGTTGTTCGATTGGCTGTGGACATCATGAAGGCAAGGTCCCACATCCAATCCAAACCCTTAGGTTTACTTCCCTTTTGGCATATCAGCTTCTTGGTGTTCTTTGATTATTATAATCATTGGTTGATTGTCAGTTTCTTTCATCGAGCCCCCTGCCAGAAAGCGATCTTCAGCGCCCAGCACGATCACACCCTCAAGAACATCTTGAAAGGATCCTCAGCGCCTCCGGACATCTTTGCCAAGGAGCCCTACAATGAGATGCTCAAGGGGGTTGATGACGCACTTGATGCTGTAAACCACAAGTTGAAGAGGAAGGACGAAGAAGTCCAAGAGGCGAAAGTTCATGATGATGACCTAGTTGCCTTCTTGCCAGAGGTGGAGCAATGCCCTGAGGAGCTTGAGCAAGCCTTTCAGGCTGAAATTCAAGAGGCAGCAGAGCTGGTTGACCGATTTGCGAAGTGGATCCCTGAATGTGAGAGCAAAGCCGAGCTTACACAGGCACTTGCAGACACAGCTGTTGCCAAGAAGCAGCCTGAGGGCACAACAGCACTCATAGCGCTGGACACGAAGACCTGTGGAGAATCGTCTTCGCAACCGCACTTGAGGCTTCCTCAATTTCGAGCTCCAGGTCTCAGGAACGCAGTGCAATCATTCTGCGCAGCTCGAAACAAAGAGCAGTTTGATGAGGATGAGATATGTGCAGTTCTTGATGGCTCCCGAATGATTTCAACCTCAATTATGACATGCTTTGTCCGCGATGATGGGTGCCACTTCGAAGGGAAGACCAGGACAGAATTCGTGATACATTACGATGAAAAAAGCATGCGAGCGCGAAAGATGGTGAGCCGTGGGCTTGTGCAGGTGCACGAAGGGTTGCACGTGTTCAGCAATGGAGCATTGTCATTGCCAGAGCCACGTACAAGACTCTACGGGGGCTCCAATTATTCGACATCCATTGGACCAGTCATCATGGACAGCTTTGAAAATCTATGGTTGGTATCACCAGAAAAGAAAAAGGAATATGAGGCGGGAAAAGCGAAAGTGCTCGCTGGCGGCGGCCTTGCAGGTGATCCGCCAAAAAAAACGGAATTGTCCGGTGAGCCGATGTCATTTCACACCATGCCTTTGAAATTCTACAAGGAGCTCATTCACTCCTTCTGCGCTGGAGTGGTCTTCTTCCTTTCCGATACTGACGGGGTTGGAGCCCTGGCTGCCATTCTTGCAAAAGTTCCCTGTGTGGCTTTGGTGTACAGCGCCTCGCATGGAGCTGCTTTGCGGATGAAGCTGATGGAGCATGTGTTCAAGGAGTTCCAAACACAAAGCTCGCCACTTCACCGGGTGGCCCTGACACTTGAATCCAACAAGGGTTTTCCGTCTCAAGAGTTCAATGTGTTATCGCGGTGCTGTGCAAGCGCCAGTGTTTTGAGCAATTAATTGTGAGTATTGGTACTTATGACTGGTAGGCAGGAATGGGATATTATAACTGGTATAACGGTATAATTTGAATAACGTTACTTATAACTTGAAAAACTTTCAGGCTTTTACTTTTTTTGTTTGTTGTGCTTGTCGGTTAGTTTACAAGAACAAAACAATATTTGTATATATATATATATGCATATTTATTCTATGTATGTTTGCAGACAAATGACAGAACGCTTGTTGTGTATGAGTGCAATATATATATATATATACCCAGCGTGGCGCCCATGCATTGAAACAGCAATAAAACATTGTTAGTTCCAAACTTTTCCACAAACACGACAGGTTCGGTAACTTAAATAAGTTTTCAGGATTTCATATTATCGAAACTTACTAAAGTTATACAGTAAGTTGTGGATAAGAAGGCAACATTTAACTCAAGATCTACAAGTAGCACGAGTAACAGTAATGTGCTATGTCAAACTGACTGAGGACCAGCCTGATGAGCAAGATTGGGAAGACAGCAGAGAAAACCCCTGAGACTGGCCCTAAGGAGAAGGCGTCGCACAATACACACTGAAACACACACAATACACACAACACACAAGCTAGCAGCCAGAGCAAATCCCCGATTTGCCCGCTCCGCCATGGCTGATGATGAGGAGTGGCCCCAGGAGCTGACCTGGGGCGCCAACGACTATGGGCGCTACCGGTGGTGCCCGTGGCGCGGTCCTGGCTCGGATGGAGGCGGTGGCCAGTCCAGGTCGAACCGCCAAAATGCGGCCAGAGAGAGGCGCCGCGCAAACCGCTGGCAAGAGCGAGAAGACGAGGACGAGCAACGCCGCAATGCCGTCCAGTCCAATGAGCAAGAACGCTTTGCTCTTGCGCAAGAGCTCCAGCAAGAACGCTCTGCTCTTGCGCGAGTGTCACAAGAGCTCCAGCAAGAACGCTCTGCTGGTGCACAGGCCCAGCAGCAGTTGAAGGTGAAGGAGGTCATAGTGAACAAGTTGCTGGAGCACCAGTCGAAGCTGGTGAGAGATGGTGAGGCTGGCGATTTGTTGTCAGTTGGGGTGCTGAACAAGCGCCCATTTTTTCTAGTATATATATATAACACCTATACGCATATGTGTTTTGAAATGGCCAGTTGTGTGCTGAACATGCGCCAATGATTTCATGGTGTTGAACAATAGCCCATATGTGTTTTGATCTCCCTGAACCAGACCGAGGAGCATGCCCGGAAGCTTCAAAAGCTGGACGAGATGGCAAGGCTGAGGAACGGGCCCAGAAGCTTCAGAAGATGCTGGAAGAGAAAATGGACAAAAAGGTCTCGCCAACCCTCCAGCTGATGACATTGTGCCAGAGGTGACGCCAAAGGAGGTGGCGACGGAGGTGGCGACGCCAGAGGACACCTCTGAGAAAGTCGAGGAGAAGAAGGCGACAAAGAAAGCAAAGAAAGAGGCAAAAGCGAAGAAAGAGAAGAAGGACCAGGACATGGCGTGAAGGACAAGCAGGACATGGCGCCAAAAGAGAAGAAGGACAAGCAGAAGATGGCGCCAAAAGAGAAGAAGGACAAGTGCCAGGAGAAGATGGCGCCAGAAGAGAAGAAGGAGAAACGCAAGCAGGAGATGATGGCGCCAGACACCGAGAAGAATGAGGCAGTCAAGAAGATGACGAAGCAGGACCAGCCTCTGCACAGTGGAAGCCAGGGACCCAGCTCAGCAATGGCAATGGCTGACGATGATGATGATGGCCATGGCAGTAGTGGTGGGAAGGTACGCAGCAACAGCTAAGAGGCAAATGGACTCTTTGGCCTCCAATGTCCCCAGTCAACAGTCAACAGTATGGAAACAACACTGACCAGTCAACAGTATGGAAACAGGGCAAGCTCAAAAGTGCATACCTGTTGATCAACACTTAGCAATTATCCAAGTCCAACATGTTCAGAGATTGGGGACCTTGGCTGTCTGCATTTTTAAGATCAGCACGCCCCGCGACAGTGCTGAAAAATAGGCAGTTTCGCTTTGAGGGTTTGATCGGTGCTGAATAAGCGCCGCAGTTTGATCGGTCAGGATGTCCTTGTCTCGATTTTAAAGGCTTTTTTGTTCTATCGAGCCGCCTTTTGGGTCAAAAGGCGGCTCGCGCTTTCTATTTTAAGAAGGGGTCCATTTTTCCGTTTTTTCTAGGATTCCAGGAATAGAGGATTGATTTTTTCAATGCAGGATTGAATAGACTGATATTCATCATCAAAAATGAATAGGATTGAGTACTCCCACCGCCAGATAGCCTAAACGCTTCACGGTGGACATGGATGTGGATGGTGCTGAACAAGCGCCAAAAATGTGGATGTGCTTGAAGCACATATTCCCTTTCTGGCCATGGGGGTGGTTTTATCAAGAGGTGGGGATTTCAGTGGATAGTGACACCAAATCCAACTCAGTGTAGTCACGTATACCACCCATCTTTCAGGGGAGTTGCCACAAGTCATACGCAGCTTTATTTCAGGAGTTGTACATATCTTTGTGGTTGGTACGTTTTTTAGAATGGATGGTGCTGAAGAAGCGCCCATGTCCAGAAAGAGATGGTTGAACTACTTAGCGCCCCTTCCAACCATTCCAACCCTGTGAGGTTCCCGGCCGACCTGCTTCTGGATCTGAGGTTCGCCATTGCCCCACTCTGCCAGTTTGGCGCTTCTACAGCACCAATCATCTGGCGCTTGCGCAGCGCCTTTTTAGGGGCGCTTCTTCAGCACCTTCCTGCTAAAATACGATTGTTTAAGTTGCCCTTTAACAGTGTCCAATGCATGTTTTATCTCATGTATCAAAGTGTGTTTGCACAAAAACGCTCCAAAGTCGTTTTACAAGCACTGTGTGGTTCCTGCCTGTGGATGCAATAGCTGATTTCTCAGGACGTTTGATGACGTTTGTGTATGGTTTGTCTGCGCCTGTCAAACTGTTTGTAAGATTTCCTCTGAAAAACAACAAAAAACATACCAAGATTTCCAGACATTCTACTGTCAAAAGCCATGCCTTTTTAAAGTCAGGCTTCCACATGCCACCAACTTTCAAAAAAACAAGTTGAATTCCTTTAATGAAAGCAAGATATCACCAGAGTGATCAAAAAGACTCCCACTGTTTGACACAAAACATTTGGCCTTTATTTCTTTGAAAATTTATGGGATCAAAGTTATTTCTATGCCACAGGTTTTTAACCTTGAAGCCTTTGGGCTATCATATTCACAGAGCCAAAGAAAGGTACAAAATTTCAATTTTAGGGTCATCATAGGACATGGGTTTTCAGATCACCAGTCATCATGTTGACAGGGCCAAAAACCCAGCCAACAAAAGCACATACCTAAGCACAGCCCAGTCAACGGCCTTGCCAAACCGGCGAGGGCCAAGTGCTGGACCTCTTCCCATCCCTGCTGGAGCATGGTGTTAACACAAGGGAGGTCGTCAAGAAAATGGTTGAAGTCGCCTCCAATGAACCGTGGTCCTTTGGCTTTGGTGCAAACTCTGTCCACCACATGCTCGAGAAGTGAATTGTTCTGTTCTCCCCCACTTTGAAACGCGTTCCCATAGAAGGCACCTCCCTGAATCCACTGGTTTCTGTATTGGAAACCTCCTGCGTGACACCGTTGGTGTGATTGGACGGCATCAGGCCAGTCATGCATCAAGTGTCGGCAGGGTACACTGGATAGGAAACCGACTCCCCTTTCTTTGCCTCGAACTGCGAGGTGAGATTGATGGACAGTTTTGGGGGGGACGAACTCTCCGTGCAGGAGCTTATAAGGACTCTTGGTGCATTGAAGTTCCCGCCAAAATTGTGCTCCGCCCCCATGAGTCAAGTGGGTCTCAGAAACGACCCAAACAGTACCTTGCGTCCCTTTGGGAAGTGCGTTGATTAATTCAGCCTTATGCAGCAAGCCAGTGGGGTTCAACAGACCCAAAACAAAGCCAGGATGAGGAGGACCTGGATGTTGTGCTTCACCATAACGAAAAACCGAAAACAAAATCACCGCAAATCTAAGCAACGAACTTTTGCCGCGACTCTGCAAGGTCTGCTGTCGGCTATGCTGACGTGGCGGAACCCTCTGGAAGTCATGACCGCTATGTCGGGCCATTATGTCCTGGGTGGTTATGGCTCGGATCGAACTCTGCTTGCCGGCACGGATACGCACGGATATGCACGGATATGGCAGTGGCAAAGGCTCAGGACCCCAGACAGCCCAAAACCCTCTAAATGAAAACCCCTTAATTTTAGAACCTCTAATTAAGGTGAAACCCTTCTAATTAAGGTCTTTTCAATAGACCTTAATTAGAGGGTTTTCAAGGGTATGTTTTTCTGCATAACAAATTTTGTTTTCTTGTTGATAATCAATCATAGGAGACAGCTTAAACAGTACCAAATGTAGTGTGGTTTCAGTTTGCAGGTAATGGGCTCCTCTTGTATCCAGGAGCTTGTTTTTGTTTTCTGCATATAGTTTTTACCAATGTTTAGGGTCTTGGGTTCACCAAAAATATTTTAGTTGATGGTGTTCTTGGGTTTGGGTCCCTGTAATGTGGTTTTCTCCTTTACACGCAGGAGGAAACCTTGAAGGTAAGTGTTGGTGGTGAACGAAGCATATATGTCCAAAAATGAATGAAAACCAATAACTCCTTTGGAGCAGGAGTTTGATGGCTTCAGTTTGGGATAGTAGCTGCTAAAAGAGTTTTTTTGTTTTGAGGGGTTGGATGCCCATGGTTCTGGGGTTTCCACTTTGTTCATGTGATATATAAAGCTGTTTTGGCTCCAAGGCCCAGACTCAAACAAGTTCTGCTTCGATCAAAGCGCAATGGGCAGCTCTAGCTCTAAACAGAACCCGACTGAGGAGATAATGAGGCTTGTGGTGTTGCGTTTGTTTCAAAATGTTCTGTTAACCTTTGTTTTGTTCAAGATTAATTGCTACCCCTGCAGGCAGCAGGAGAACCCAGCGGTTCAGACCTAGTGAACCTAAAGAGTGTTTCCATGGGTGCCTA